CCCATCAACATTTATCTCTGTGTATGTGGCACTGAGCAAGCAAGTTGAAATTTTTACTTCATCTTTGTCTTTGATTTAAAGAAGAAGAAGATGCTTCCTTATCTGGGTAGAAAATGGACGAGATTGTCAACGAAGAATCTAAAACAGACCTGGAAATTGGTCAACGGAGACGCAATTAGCAGTAGAAGAAGTCCTGTGAGAGGATTAAGCGGTGGAGCGGAACCGATAGCTAAAGAGAGAGTTGACACAGTCGTGATCGGTGCCGGAGTCGTGGGTTTAGCGGTGGCGCGTGAGATCAGTCGCAGAGGAAGAGAAGTTCTGATACTCGACGCCGCCTCAACGTTTGGTACCGTGACGAGCTCCCGCAACAGTGAGGTCGTCCACGCCGGAATCTATTATCCACCAAACTCTCTAAAGGTACAATCTTTCTCTAGTGTGTCGAGTCAAAATCGATGAAACAGTGCTAAAATTGCTATGATTCAGTGTGTTCATAGTGGACTCTGTTGTTGTCTTGGATTTTGATCAGGCTAAGTTTTGTGTAAGAGGAAGGGAATTGCTGTATAGTTATTGCTCTGAACATGAAATCCCTCACAGGAAGATTGGTAAGCTTATCGTTGCCACGGGATCCTCTGAGATACCAAAGCTTGATCTACTGATGCATCTTGGAACTCAGAATGGAGTCTCGGGTCTAAGGATGTTGGAAGGTTTTGAAGCAATGAGAATGGAACCGCAGCTTCGATGTGTTAAAGCATTGTTATCTCCTGAATCTGGGATTCTTGATACACATTCCTTCATGCTATCTTTAGTGGTATTGTATAAGACTTGTCTCTTCTCTAATAGTGTCTTCGGGTTTTTCGTTGTTCTTTCTTTAGGAAAGGAGGTTTGATTTCATGGTTTACAGGGATATAACTACAGGGAGAAGCAGAGAACAGACAGGCTATCTTCTCATACAACACGGTGGTCTTAAGTGGTTTTGTTGAAGGGAAGAAGTTGCATTTGGTTGTTGCTGAAACTGGATCCCTTGAATCACGGTTTGAGCTGATCCCCAATCTTGTTGTTAACGCTGCGGGTTTAGGTGCTCAAGCTCTAGCAAAGAGATTCCATGGCTTAGATCATCGATTCATTCCATCGTCTCACTATGCTCGTGGATGCTACTTTACGCTATTGGGCACAAAGTCTCCGCCGTTCAACAAACTTGTGTATCCTATACCTGAGGAAGGAGGTCTCGGTGTCCATGTCACTGTAGATTTGAACGGACTTGTCAAGTTTGGTCCCGATGTAGAATGGATTGAATGCACAGACGATAATTCAAGCTTCCTCAACAAGTAATACTCTTGCATCTGTTCTTGAAATTTCCTTCCTCTTGTCCATTTTGAAGTTACTTAAGATCTTAATAAGGTCATTTGAATCCAGATTTGATTATCGTGTAAATCCACAACGAGCGGAGAAATTCTACCCAGAGATCAGAAAGTACTATCCGGATCTCAAAGACGGATCGTTGGAACCTGGTTATTCAGGCATCCGCCCCAAGCTTTCCGGACCAAAACAGCCTCCTGCAGATTTTGTCATACAGGTAATCTTTTTGTTTTCGAAAGCTTCTGACATTAAATACAAAACATTGTTCCCTATGAAATCTTCAGTTTTGTGATGAATGCATTTGTTTTCTCAAGTCTCTTATGTGTTCTTGAAGCAGGGAGAGGAGACTCATGGGGTTCCTGGTCTTGTGAGTCTCTTTGGCATTGAATCACCTGGTTTAACTTCAAGCTTAGCTATTGCGGAACATATAGCAAACAAGTTCTTGAGATGAATTTGAGATTCAAGTATACATTCGAGAACAAAGCTACCACAAAAGAAGGCTTGGCAAGTTTAAACAGTTTTCCTTTCTGAGTGATCCATTTTACAGTCTGTCTATAACTTTTGACACTCTCACTGAAGTATTGTTGTATTCAAAATGTTATAAGGTTTTTTTCTTCTGCACAACCTGCAAATTTGATACTCATGAAAACGATTACTGTTGCTACTAAAATAACTCGGAATGTTTTTAAGAAAGTTAACAGAATAGCTCCAAGTCAAGAAACTCTACGGAATGTACAAAGAAACAAAGCTGTTTTCCTCTCTTTTTTATAAACGAACCGACACCGAAGCAAAAAAGAAAGAGTTTTGAGATCAGAAAGGAGCTGAGCTTGTTCGCCGAAGCTGCCGCTTGGGATCAGGCGGTGGTGCACTTGGAAGGATCTTCTCCACCTCCTGGAAAGTATATAAACAACACCAAACAATGTAAGATTTTGCTATAAAGTTCATGGCGATTGTAAAACAGCAAAACCAGAAAAGGTTATGGCTCTTATATGTTCTTTCTAATGAGCCAAAAAACCATTACAACGAAGAATGAAACAACAAACGCTTAACCTTCTAGAGGTTGAGTCTAAACCTATTGATCCTCTCTCTTGTTCCTGGTTTCAAGTTTCAACTTCTATCATCTTTTGTCTACGATGCTTGTGTCCAGTTCTATTATCTATCGTTCCTCTAATATGAATCCACAACTTGATACATGACAATTCTCACTACTAATGACCATTCATTCGAAATTTCAATAGCCACAATCAATAACCAAAAAKGCCAAGGATGCCAAGACATTACCTTTTGCCTCCTGAGTCTTTCGTTTTCTTCTTCTAACCGCGAAACCTTGATCTCTAGCTCATGAGTGTAAGCCTGCTCATTACAACCAATGTTGAAACCCATAAGAGTAAAAAAAACGAGGCATCACTTGACAAGACTAATAACAACAACACATTTGCAATTACAAAAAGTTGTTCTCACCTGTTTCCTAGCTCGTGAACGAGCTGCAGACTCTCTGTTCTTTATCATTCTCTTCTGCCTCCTCTCTACAGTCTTCTCTACAATTTCTCCTGAAGCTACCCTTTTCCTTCCTGGAGTCTGTGTATCTGACAAACCACCCATCAAAGAAGACTGAGACACCATTACTTGCATGTCTGAAACTGGATACGGCATGAATGCTTGAGGCTGTGGCATTGATGGAAGCTGATGATACTGAACCCATGGACCGACCTGAGTCATGTTTTGCCCTAAAACAGCACCTGA